GGTTTAAACTTAAACAGGGGAAGTTCAGGTTATATATAAGGAAGAAGTTCTTCACAGTGAGGGTGGTGAGGCACTGGAATAGGTTGCCCAAGAAAGCTGTGAATGCTCCATCCCTGGCAGTGTTCAAGGCCAGGTTGAACAGAACCTTGGGCAACATGGTCTAGGGTGAGGTGTTCCTGCTCATGGCAGGGGGTTTGGAACTCGATTATCTTAAAGTCCTTTCCAAGAGTAAGTATTCTATGAACCTATGATTCTGTGGAGGTGACCATCCAGCACAGCCCCCAGAGCCCTTTCTGCAGCCCACACCCTCACAGAGGCAGGGTTTGTTTGGATGTTACACAAGAGATTTATTGGCATCTTTGCAGAGGGGAAAGCTCGCAAAGGGAATGGACACTCTCGAAGAGTGCCCGTGGACAGATACCCACTGCAGAGGGCTTTTCCTTTCCATGATCTCTCAGAGACTAACCTCAGGCTAGGACTATAAAATAACTGTGAACAACTATGCCCAGCTATATCTCTCTGTTTTACTTGCTTCCTGCTAGCAGCCCTGCAGCTCATCTGACGTTAGAAGGCGGCAATTTAAAAATGTACCGGCGAGCACCTAGGAGAGAAATCAACCATGTCAATACTATTAGACCACTGCTAGCAACTAGCAGCCTCACCTGAGACAGACTCTGAGACTTTAAGCAGTGCTTTCTGTTTGTTTGTTTAACTCTGAAAATGATTTAACTCAAAATGGAGTATCTCCTACCATGTGTTAACTAACACCATATATTAAGGTAAAGCATATATCAAACAGAATGACAAAACTGTGCAGAAGTGTACTTCAATGCTGTAGCACATGGCCCTCTGTTAAGCTTCACCACAAGAATGTTTCTTTAAATACATGTTCAACTTCAGGAAACATGCTTCAGGAACAACAGCGGGTAGTTAGCAGACAGCACAGCAAAAGCGGTCGCAAAAAACATGTTTCTGCCAATAAAAGATGACACCCCTCCCAATAATTCTATACAGATGTATTTCCCCAAATTTGAGATAAACAATTATTCCTCAGAGTAGGATTCAAACCTCAGTAACCAGCAGACACCAGAAGAGTCACCATTTAGCCAGCGAGTCACGTGCAGCACGCTGGCAGCAAGTTTAGCAGTATTTTGGGCTACGGGAAGTCCCTCTCTGGAGACATGACACTGCTGACATGCACCGGCACTGACTGGAGTGCTCAACAGGAGCCCCAGCTCTGCGTGCAGAGTTAATTCACAGCAGTATTACAGAAGGACAGTGAGAATCATGACAAACCAAAACCAGCAGCACTAGCAGCAGCATGTAAGTGTTATGTGTTTGTTTTCCACAGGAGTGCTCCTTCTTCAATACTGTAAAGTTACAGCATTGCTAAAAGCCTATTAACTAGCCAAGAATTCCTAAATATAGTGTTAATATCCACATGTATGGTTTTTTCTTCTTAGGTATTTAACTTCATATTGCATTTTCATTTAATACATGTTGCTGCAGGACAATGGAGTTAATTCTGATGGGGGAACGAGGGCAAAGAAATTACTTCCAAAATTGACATTTCGGTAAGAGAGTTAAGATTTGCCTGCACCTCTGTTTATAATTCTTACACGGTTCATGTCTGTCTTGGAGGAAAGATACTGGGAGAGTTTTCAGCTCAGTACAGTGTGAGAATTGCAGGCAGAAGAGGTCTCTGCTAAAATTCTCAAAACAGGACTGTGTTCAGGGGAAATACTCATCCACCACCTTCACTTAACAGACCCAAACCATTTCCTCCACACATGCTTCTAGGGTGGAATATTTTAATATGGAATTTGGCAGACAAACTTCCATAGATGTTTCCCACAGTAGATTGTCCTTCTTTCTGCTAAGCACGTTAAAACTATCTTAAAACAAATACTCTCATCAATGTAATTTACTGTACAGATAAATAACAAACAACTCAGTAGGCTATAACTCATGACATTTCAGAGTTTCTCCAGAACAGGACTAAATAGCATAGTAGTTGCCAGATTTAAGTTTTCAAAATGGACATGGTTTTAAATAGTGTTAGTACCTACCAGTATACTGCCTGAAAACATCCACATTGTTCCTATTTAATAGTGTTACACACAGATTACTTAATACAAAAAACCCAAACCAATGCATATACATGTACTTGAAATAGAGGAGGAGAATCCTTGTGTAGCACGCAGTTTCTCATTTCTCAGTAGAAAAAGCCCTCTTCATCAACGGTGGGGGTGCTTTTCCAACATCAAACATCATTTCCAGTGGAGGATTATTAAGACAGCACCAGTCAGGTATGCGGCCTGTCTGGCTGTAATATTCTTTGGACACAGACCGGCTCCCAAGTATGTCCTGAAGTGCTCCAAAAATGGCTCCTACAATATTGGCGGGCAAGGGGGAAATGTTGCATTAATGTGATTTACTGAATCTCTTTTTCTACTTCCCATCAAGAATCTCAACTGGGTTTTTTCAGCTCTGTCCCCAAAGTTAAAGGCATGAAAGGATATAGCCGCTTTCCTTTTCAGTAGCCCAACTAAGTCTCAAATTGCTTCCATTTATGTCCTTCGAAAGTAACTGAAACCAAGAACCATCTAGTCTCTGCTGACAGCAAAAGTAGCTTCTTACAAGAAAGTTTCCTAAAAGTTTTTATCTTAAGCATTTCAAACAAACCACCTTGTGTTTAAGGAAAGTTCCTCTCCCCCAAAAAGGGTGCCACACAATACCCGTAAGAAATTTACACAAGTTGTGAGATGGTTCAGGCTGCAACAGCTGACTAGCACTGCCAGTGAAGAAAACTTATCAGAGAGCTTGGCACATATAAATCACTCTTGTTTGCTAATCTTAAAAGCAGACCCAAAGGTTTTAAAACTAAGTAGGTGTTTATAAACATTTACATTTTAAGCCATATGGATATAAAATTTACCTTTCAAGTTAGTTCTTCATACAGACCACATGGGCTCAGCTTATTAACCGAAAGCTTAGAAAAGCATGAATTCTTATCAACTTGAGAACCTTCCAGAAGAGTGGCTAGCAACAGAAAGCCTTTCTTTTCCCCTAGCTTGCCAGTACAGCATCCAAAAATCCATCGCAAGTTGTTGTATTTATTACTTGTGGACAGCATTGAGAGTTAGCAGCCTCTGGCCTCTGTAGCTCACACCTCGTCAGTCAGTAATTAAACTTGTTTTTTCAATAAGCAGATCTTCCACAAGCTGCAGGACTCTGCTCTGTCCAATTACTTTACTGGTGCCACCGTATGACGGTAGCCCTGTACTGCACTTGAATCAACACCACCTCTTCCACACCTCCGTTTCGAATTGCTCGTCACTCCTGCCACCTCGTTAAAGCTCCCATAACTCACAGTGCCTCTTTCTGCCCTCTGGATGAACCCTTTCTTCCAGAAGGGCGTAACGATTCCACAGAGCTCCACTGCAACTTGATTTCAGTAGATAACCTAACTTTTACTGCTATTTATTCATTACAAATCCCACTTAGAAGTTTTGATCTTCACTTTGTACCTTTCCTTAACAGTTGTTTTTATTCTTACCTCCCAGCCAGGCCACGCAGTTGGGTTTGGCAGGTGGAGTGTGAATTCTGAAGGTTTTAGTGGCAAGTGCTTCTTTGTATTTTGGTTTCTCTACCAGGTATCTGATTTCAGCCATAAGCCTGTGAAGGAATCCTGGCAACATCGCGGTGCCGCCAATAACTACCAAGTTCTCTGCCAGCTGCTTCCTGGTATCTATCGGACACTAAGGCAAACAGGAATAAAACAAAAAAAGGTCTGTTAGAAATTCAGTCAGTCTTTCTGCACACATCAATTGCTGTTTTTTCATAATTAGCTGAAACATAACCAATGTTATTTGCAATCCACACTTCCAACGTTATTTGCAATCCACACTTCCCAAGAAAACTAGTCTTAAGGAACTTCCCAGCTGAGGCTTTTATGGACATGCTGTGAGTCCCTCTAAAGCTCTTCAGCTGAGATGGGCCAAGATAGCAGAAGACAGAGGTATTGGTGACAGTAATTCCCACAAGTTCGGGGAGAAGATACACCAGGCTCTTGTCCAGAGGAAATAACTGGATGCTATTTAACATTTGTCCTTCCTCAGGATGAAGAGTGATGCAAGGTAAACGCCTGCAAGTACGGAGATGAGGGGTCCGGGCACAGTTCTTGTTAAACAATTTGTTTTCATAAGGAATTCTAACTGAAATGTTTGTCACGTCATCCAAGCTTACAGCTCTCCAATAGATTATGTCTCAGCAAATTAATTCAAATGGCGTCAGTAACTACAGGAAGTCAGCTTTGATTAAACATGCAAACACTACCACATAATGAAAATTTCCATTTACAGTGGTTTTCTAATGTATTTTTTTACTAAATATAATAAGAAATGAAGTGTTTGTATATGCCAGGAAAATTCTCCTCAATAAATCTAATGTACTTCCTATAATAGAGATAGCCAAATTATTTTTATTCCATCTTAGACAAACCAGCAGTCTGCAGGACTCAAAGTCTAACTCTGAGCAAAACACCTTGAAAAAAGAAGAAATAGAATACCTGTGTAATTTCAGTTTAAGCAGAATAATTCCTACACCACCAAGTATTAGCTACTCCTTCATCACTACACACATAAAGCTCCACCCCCAAATAAAGGCAAGCTAGTGTATTACTTTTGCTGAGGGGTGAGCACTACGTTTCTTAGAAAAGTGCTAGGCACACTGCAGTATACCAAAGAGTAAGGAAGCAATCACACAGTGGGTGACACAGGCTGACTTACTACCCCAAAGAAATTCATCATGTGGCAGAACCCTAGGAGTCAATGCTATGCTCAACTTTTTCAACCAGTAACAACCTGCAGTCAGAAGGGTGTTACTTTAGAAAGAGTCACTTGTAAGAGTACGTTCTCCAAGGCTGGAGGCATTCAAGAACTTGTTTACAACAGAAAGATACCTGAACAAGCGAATCCAAGATCAAAGTGGCCACAGATGTCTCTTCATTATCCTGTTCAAACAATATTTCGACAACGGAGTCTCTATGGAAAGACAGGAAATAAGTATTAATGAGAAGCAATACTACACTGTGAGCTAACACAAACTGGAAATAACTACAGACTTCCTGCTGACAATGCCTCATCACTACTTCTGTCATACAGACCACGCAGGAGGCAGTGCCAACAGGGAGGAGACAACGTCCCATTCATTTCACTGAACCCATCTAATCATTACACATTAATACTCCGTTTCTGCTTCCGCCATTCCCTCAGGCTATTTGCTATTATCTTTAAGTGTTAGCTCTCTGGAGAAGCTGACATCTCTTAATACAGGTTTGCACCGTGACCAGCACAAAGCCTTAACTTAACAGGCATTGAAAGCATATGCAAGTGTTTCATTAAAACTAATTTCATGAAAATTCATGTGGTTTTAGAGCTGAAAAATACATCCTCCTAAAGATAAATGCTCTGCTATTGTACTTCTCACCTGATAGGGCCAACTACATGGAGAATCTTTTCTCCATCCAAAGGATAGTCCACATCTGGAGGTGGTGAAGGACGCTATAAACAAAAATGTAGGTACATTATTTCAGAAGCCAAAAAGGCTACATCCACTTCAAAGGACTAGGATAAGCTTCATTCTCCACCCACCTCAGCAGTGCCATCAATGTTGAACTTAGCTGCTTGGATTTTCAGTCCACGTTGGAGATCACTCACAAAACAAGTGCGGACTACATAAAAGAAAGGGCAGAAGAGACTTTGTTGGATCCTTTCATCATCAATAGACAATAATTTTGCTAAATTTAGAGAAGAATACACACTTTAGGCCCTTGCTGATCCAGGACATTATCAAATAAATGCAAAGAAAAATGGTCTCTACACTTTCAGGTATTCAGAATTCGGGTGCTATGTAGACTATGAGTTTAAATGCTACCCAAATTAACCTGGCCTGCTGATCACAGGATATATACAGTAGTGTAAGACTTTTTCTGTGCTACTCTGTCAAATGTGTCTATGAGCTGCATCTTAACAATGCATAGGCTAAACCCAAAAGAGGAATTCAAAATGGTTTTAGTTTTGCTTTCAGAGAGGAAGCACACTGCAAGTTCTTCCAGTAGGTAAGAAATATGGCAAACAGAGAAGATGAAATAAATTCCTACATGCAGAGTATTTCACACTTGTCATTATCATACTCTACTGCACAATTTAATAAACTAGAGTTTTATGACACAGAAAATTTTACCTTTTATATCCTCTACTATGTCTTCTGGAACTGAGCCTGAAATAAAAAAATAACTTAGAACCAAAGCTTTTTAAGTAGAAAGAGAATTAAAGAACTAAACTAAGTCTGAATTACACTTAGCACTTTAAAGTTTCACTTTGACAGCAGCTATTAAAAATTCTAATGAAGAAAGAACATTAGGAACAGAAATAAAAAGTTTGTCTTCTCTCAAAACAGACTGAAGAATTACTACAGCACTTTTATAAGCCTTCATTCAAACCTGCTGCTATGAGTGGCTTATAAGAAAAAGAATGTATTTGTTAAATATGGAGAAAGAAACCATGGAAGTAGATCACACAGGATGCGGTGAATGCTAAACACATTTTATTCGCTGCTAGTATCAACCCACTTCCCCCAGGGCAAGTTCACATCACACATGCTACATCAAACAGACCTTACCCATCACAGATGGAAGGCTTTGTCCTTTGGCTAATCCGGTATCAACTGTGCACTGCTCCAACAGCTGATACTCCAGCTCCCTAAAACATTGCATATAAGTCAAAGACATCTACTAACTCAGGCTAATTCTCTATATCATGCTTAAGGGACAGTATTTTTTCCTCCAGTTACATTCTTCTAAATACACAGCTTTTACTACACCAACAAAAGCCAAACAGTGGTCACTTTAAAAATCAGATGCTGTCACAGTAAGTTATGATGTAAGTCATATTCAACAAGAATCTTTGCTCATTAGTCAAAGATGAACATTCACAAATAAATCATTGGTAACCTGGAATGTGTAAGTGTGAACTTACTTGTGTATAGCCTTTCCTCCCAGAGGAAGAGAACCCCAACAGCTCAGAATCGGAATTCCCTCATATATCTACATGAAGATCAGGAAATTCTCTTTTGTTTTGAGTTTTCGGGGTGCTGGAACTAAATGCTTTTTCCCCTTAACAATCACTTGCACTAGCTATTGGAAATACGCTACAAGTGCTTTTCTCCAAAGCTAATTTCTAGTATCTAATGGCTGAAGTTACAAACTCCCTTCCCAAGTTTCAAGGGAACACAGATTTTGCATGTCAGCTGTGAAGAGATTCCCCAAGTCATGATATACTATAGTCAAAAGCCACACTGGTTGATCTCTTCCTACTACATTTTTGCTCACTTTCAGTCTAAAAGTATCATTTTGCCACAACAGCCTTGTTGCTGAAAATCTTGTTCCGTATTATTAAAGGATACAGGCAGCACCAAGCTTTCTGTGTATCCACAATCCAGAACCATGGCAGAATTGATCCCAAGTGTCAGGAGAGACATCAGATGGCTTGGAGCAAACAAAACTGAAGGTACCTACATGGAAACAAAAATAAGACAACTAACAGAAGGGCAGGGCTAAGAAAAAAACCACCCCAAGCACTGATACTTTCCCCATATGTCATATTAAAAGCAAAACACAAACAACTGTAAATTGAAGTACACACTTTTAATTCAGCATTCAGGATAGCGTACTAATAAACAAAACACAACAGGATTCTATGTTGATCTTCTTTGTGGTAAATACCACAAAGTATTACCACAGTAATAATGAATCTTGGAACGGACTTCTAAGAAAAGCGGGTGTCAACTACAGAACTTATCTGAAGCCAGAGATCACG